GTCTTCAATGAGTACTTGCTCATGTGTCTGTCTTGTGTGGCAGAAACCAAACAGAGCCTTTTTCAACCCAGCCACACCCTGGAGTGATGCAATAGTAAATGAGACACAGGCATGGTCACATATTCGGGATATGAAGCAGGCCTGCCAGCTCAGGAAGTTACCCCAGAGTCGGACGGGTGGTGGATCAAGGAGGAATGTTCAGAGAGCCTTCCCCACAAAGCACACAGCACAGCAGGGCATAACAGGCAGTTGGACTCTTTTTCTCTGTACAGGAAGCGGCAGACAGCAATTTTTTTATTTTTATTTTTTGAAATAAGGAAGGTATGCGACCAGAAGCCTATTTTAGTAAGATAGGTTTGGTAGCATGATGGCGGATAAGTTAACGCAGAGGATTAGAGACAGAGAGACCTTGGGAGGGGTATGTGGAACTAAGTAAGCACTAGGGGAGAAGGGAGCATGTAAGAAATATTTCAGAGCCAAAAATGGAAGTTCTAGATTGTTGATTGAATACGGGAGATTTGGAAGGGAAAGGTATAAATATGGTAGCCTCACGTTCTTTGAGCATTTACCATAGGCAAATTACTAAGCATTTTACAAGTATTGACTCATTTGATTTTTTTTTTTTTTTTTTGAGATGGAATCTCACTTTGTCATCCAGGCTGGAGTGTAGTGGCTTGATATCAGCTCGCTGCAAACTCTGCCTCCCAGGTTCAAGCGATTCTCCTGCCTTAGCCTCCTGAGTAGCTGGGACTACAGGCATGCACCACCAGGCCTGGCTAATTTTTGTATTTTTACTAGAGTCAGAGTTTCACCATGTTGGCCAGGCTGGTCTTGAACTGCTGATCTCAAGTGATCCACCCGCCTTGGCCTCCCAAAGTGCTGGGATTACAAGCATGAGCCACCATGCCTGGCCTGACTCATTTAATTCTAACAAATTGTATGAAATAGGAATTATTATTATCTACTGTTATTATCTATTATTTATTGGAGAGGAAACTGAGACATAGGGAGGCTCAGTCATTAGTCAGAGGTCACTTGGTCTTCAGAACCTGCATTCCTCACGTATTCCACATGGCCTTGTCTCCAGTCTGGGTGACTCAGGAGATGGTGATGCCACTGGCTGAGATGGGGAAGTCAAGGGAAGGAGGAGATGGGCATGTGTATGGAGCAGGAGGGAGGGCGGACAAGGTAGTGTTTTGGATATGTGTGGCTTGTAGATGTTCTGCCAGCACCTCAAGTGGAGATGGTCAGCAGGCCTCGTGTCCTAGTGTGGAGAGGGAACTGGTTTTCATTAAAAATAATGAAACATCTGTAAAAATACCGTTGGCTGAGTTTCTCAGTCAAGCTACTTGAGAAAAGTTGGCTATGCTAACAAACAGGAAGCCCATGCCCCAGCTGAAGATTTGGCCAGAGAGTTAGAAGGAGCAGGTTCATCAACAAAGTGCTCAGACCCCTGGAACACCTACAAGAGACCAGGACTAAGCCTTGAAAAAGGAGGAGGGAATTAATGTGCTCCTCATTCCAGTGGGCCAGAGCTTTCCAATGCTGCCAGCCCATTAGAATCGCCTAGGAGTTTTTCATTTTTAAATTTTCTTTTGAGACGGACTTTTGCTCTCGTTGCCCAGGCTGGAGTTCAATGGCACGATCTCAGCTCACTGCAACCTCTGCCTCCCAGGTTCAAGTGATTCTCCTGCTTCAGGCTCCAGAGTAGCTGGGATTACAGGCCCACGCCACCATGCCTGGCTAATTTTTGTATTTTTCTTTTTTTTTTTTTTTTGACACAGAGTCTTGCTCTGTCGCCCAGGCTGGAGTGCAGTGGCACAATCTCGGCTCACTACAAGCTCCCGGGTTCAAGCCATTCACCTGCCTCAGCCTCCAGAGTAGCTGGGACTATAGGCGCTCGCCACCACGCCCAGCTATTTTTTTTGTTTGTTTTAGTAGAGACGGGGTTTCACTGTGTTAACCAGGCTGGTCTCGAACTCCTGACCCCACGTGATCCACCCGCTTCGGCCTTCCAAAGTGCTGGGATTACAGGCGTGAGCCACCATGCCTGGCCGAGTTTTTTAATTTTTATTTTAATTTTATTTTTTTGAGACAGAGTCTCGCTCTGTCGCCCAGGCTGGAGTTCAGTGGGACTATCTCAGCTCACTGCAACCTCTGCCTCCCGGGTTCAAGCAATTCTGCCTCAGCCTCCTGAGTAGCTGGGATTACAGGCAAGAATCACTAGGAGTTTTAAAAAATGCTCATGCCCTGGCCTCACCCCAGAACCAATTACATCAGAATATCTCAGGGATGGCCAGAGGCAGTTGTTTGTTTTCTTTTGTTTTGTTTGAGACAGGGTCTCACTCTGTCACCCAGGCTGGGTGCAGTGGCGTGATCTTGGCTCACTGCAGCCTTGACCTCCTGGGCTCAAGCGAGCCTCCCACCCATCTCCCTAGCAGCTGGGATTACAGGCAAACATCACCACGCCCAGCTAATTTTTTATCTCTGTAGAGCCACGGTCTTGCTATGTGGCCCAGGCTGCCTCAAACTCCTAGCCTCAAGTGACTCTAAAGTGCTGGGATTACAGGCATGAGCCACCATGCCTGGCCTATAGGCAGGTGTTTTTTTTTGTTTTTGTTTTTGTTTTGAGACAGAGTCTCATTCTGTTGCCCAGGCTGGAATGTAGTGGTGTGATCTCGGCTCACTGCAACCTCTGCCTCCCAGGTTCAAGCAATTATCCTGCCTCAGCCTCCCAAGTAGCTGGGATTACAGATGCGTTCCACCATGCCCGGCTAATTTTTTTGTATTTTTAGTAGAGATGGGGTTTTACCACATTAGCCAGGATGGTCTCGATCTCCTGATCTCGTGATCTGCCCGCCTCGACCTCCCAAAGTGCCGGGATTACAGGCGTGAGCCACCGTGCCTGGCCCCATAGGCAGTTTTTAAAAGCTCTTTAGGTGACTCTAATGTGAGGCCACGGTTAAGAATTGCAGCAAAAGGAGGCTTGTCTTTGGAGGTGATGATCAGAGAGCGGGATAAGTAGTGAGTAATGCCTACAAAGTACTTTTCCATTCAGAAAGCACTTGCACATATATGACCTTATTTAAGGAACATCTTGTTGTTATTCACTGGTTTGTGGGAAAAACTGTGAACCAATAAAACAAATGACTTGCTGAAGGTCACAGTCGTTTAGTAGAAAAGCCACGACTTGACCTCAGATCTGCTGACCCCCACTTCAGTGTTCTTTTATAATGTCACACAGGGCAATGCGACCGAAGGAAGGCCAAGTTCATCTGTATTCACATGTAAAGGTGAGGGTGTAGATATTTTTGAAAGTAATTATGATCCACGAGGGTTAATCTAAAAATAGAGCTGTGGCTTGTATAACAGGCATAATGGGGTGGAACAGCCTTGAATGTCACTGGCCAAGAAGAGCTGGTGAAGCCCAGATGGCCCGATGGCCAAGGAGCAGGTGGAGTGGCTGCAGGGAAGCAGCAGGCAGGAGGCGATGGGAGCAGAGTCAGGGAGGGAAGTATAGGGCGGGGCTGGAGGGGGCCCTGGCATTGCCCAAGATCAGGAGGCCTGGCGGTCCAGGCACAAGCCTTCAGGCACCTACAGCTGGTAGTGGTGGAAATGGCAAATCCAGGACATTCCTGGAGGCATTTGCCAGTTTATTGGAACTCTTCTGCATCTTAAGGGACATAGCACCTTACTATCCAGATGATAATCACCTGCTAATTTGTATAGACCTGTGTCATTTAGGATATACTATCTTTGTCCATTTTCACAAGTTTAGGGTATTATTTTCCTACCTCAGCAGCTGCATGTGTGATACTGGCATAATAATACCTTATGATGGACACTGAGAGTAAGTGAAATGTGTCTAACCAAATGCCTAGCACGTAGGAAGCTGCTGAATAAATATTAGCACCTTTTAATAGTGGATTCTTTTTTTGAATGTGGATAGTAAAGATCAGAAATGTTGACCACCACTTAGTGGTTAAACAATGTGGGCTCCAAAGCCAGACCACTAGTTTCAAGCCCAACTCTACCAATCTAGCTGTTCAGCCTTGGGCAAGTTAATTACCCAAGTAAAGTCTGTTTTTTTCTGGAATAAAATTGAGATAACACCTGAACATTTCTCTTGCACTTGTTGGGCAGATTAAATGAGATAATGCATGGAAAGCTGTTAGCATGGTCCCTGGCACCTAATCAGTGTTCCATAATTATTAACAAGCTCTATTAAATCCTGACAAATAGCCAGTGCATAAGCCAACACTGGAATCTAGGCCAGTGCTCTTTCTGCTACACCAAGGCAGCTCCTGATGATAACAAACATGAACCCAAGTGAGAAGGGAAGAGAGCTAACATTTAGGGAGGGCCAGCTGCATTCCAGACATGGACATCATGACAAAGCAATTCACAGGGAGATGATGAGGTTCACGGGGCTTAGTAACCTTCCCAAGGTCACAAAATAGTGAGAGATGTGGGGGTCAAATGGACTGACCTCAAGTCCTGCAGCCTTTGTCCATCCGGTGGTTCTCTAGCATGCATCAGAATCACCTGCAGGGCTTGTTAAAACCCAAATTCCAGAACTTTCTCCCAGACTTTCTAATTCAGTGGGCCTGGGGTCGGCCTGAGAATCTGGATTTCTAACAAGTTCCCAGGTAAGATCGATGCTGTGGGTCCTGGACTGTACACCCTCAGTATATGCCAAGCGGCCTTTGCTCAGTAAAATTCATTGTGATGAGACACCTCTCAGGCTGCCAGGAGCCCAAGGAGAACCCTGGGGCTGCCCTGGGGTATAGTGAGGAACCCTAAGTGCCCTGACTTGATCACTATGCATTATAAACATGTAACGAAGTTTCTCATGTAGCCCATAAATGTGTACAAATAAAAAAATGTTTAAATGTTCTCTTAAAGAAAAGAAAGATGTCTCAGCTAATCGCCTCGAGGCCTCATGACATGCCACCCACAGCTCTGTTAGACAGGCACAGACTTTTGTCAGGCACAATCTATAACCTCAAAGTCAGCACTCCCAGTGGGGTGTTTTATTATTTATTTACTTGACAGGTAACATCGATTTGGTCCTATAAGACACCATGCTAAAGGCTTAACTACTTGTTGTTGCACAAGGTAACTCTCCTGAACTCTCAGGAAGCCCTTGCATGGCCTATCAAGGACAGCTCAGTCACTGAAGGGAAAAACTCCATACCAAAGAAGAGAGATGCTGCCAGAGTTTCCCAAGGGAACCTCCATCCCACAGCCCTTCAGGGCCATCACACTCACTCACATCAGCCATCATCGAAATAGTGGCCACGCTGGGAAGGAGTCCTGAACTAGAAGGTGGTCTTCAAACCATGGCGTACCGGTTTATATATATTACAGATAGATAAATTAAGAGGTCTATATGTATACAAAATCTCTCAAAGAGGAATGAATTCCATTCTGTCATGCCAGATATTTGTCAGAAACTTGAAAACGAAGGTGGTTTTCAGCGGAGCTGGTATTAAAAATAGAAGGTATTTATACACAGGCCCTGCTTCTCTCATGGCCATGAAATCCTCTGGTGTTGTCAGGGCCCCTGGGCAACCTCAGCACCCCCACAGGTAACCCATCTGCAGTCTGCATCTTCCGAGAGAGCAGGGGACTCACACCAGGGCTTTTCTCCTGGGTCCCCATCTCGGCTTGGCGGCGCCTCCGGACCCAGGGGCTGCCAGAGGGAGTGACGCTGCTGTCAGAGGAATAATCCATACACTTGCGGAAGATCTCAGGGCTGGTGCTGCAGTTCAGTCTACCTTCCTCCGCCAGTGGGGACTTTCTGGAAACGCCTTTGCGTTGGGCCAAGGGGCTGCTCCAAGGACTTGTGCACGGGGAGGCATTTGGACTCAGAAAGAGATTCTGGTGGCCAGAAGGGCTGAGCTTGTTGGTGGCCATGTGCCGTCGGCCCGCCATAGGGGACGTGGGGTTGCTCTCGGGGTCAGAGGAGCTGTTGGCAGAAGACTCATCACCCATGTACTGAAGCTCCTCCACTCTCTTGTTCAGGGACTTGTTCAGGTGGATGCTCGCAGTGGGCTCCTCGTCATGATTTTTGTCTTTGGCAGGTTTCTTTTTGGGTGGCTTCATACCAATCAGGACAGCTTTCATGTTCTCTTTGCCCTGAGATTCTGTGATCATGAACTCATGGGCTTTGATAGCTGCTTCCACCTCCTCGAACTCCACGATGGCGCACTCCTGGGTCCCCACTTGGCTGTAGCGGCTGCTGATCCTCCGGATGTCAGGGGGCAGCTCTCTCCCAGGTTTGAGGATCCGCACTGACGAGATGACTCCAAAAGTCCCAAAAAGCTTGAGCAGGTGTTCCATCACCTTCTCCTGCACCCTGCCATTCTTCTGGGGGGTGGCCAGAGCCCACAGCTTAGGAGACAGGTAGAGATCATAGACCAGGAGCATCTTGCTGGGGAGGTTCTCGTTGGGGAACAGTGGGACGGGGGTGGTCCTCCTCACCTTCCGGTGGTCCTCATTCAACTCAAGGACCACTGAATACTTCAAGGCATGTGCTGTGGTTCTCCAGTCCCGCGTAAGGTGTTTCACCTGCAGAACAGAAAGCAAATCTGAAATAGTATCTAATGCCCTTGTCCATCCTTGTGTACACTATAAGCTCCCTCTCTCACTTCCTTATCCCTGTAACACCAGAATCCCCGTATTCTAGTGTCTAGAATCATACGTAGTATGTGTAAACACTCAAAAATCTAGTCAATGAATAAGTAAATGAAAACAAGTTCTACAATTTCAAACAAGGGCACCACAGCAGTGTTGTCCAACAGAACTCTCCATGAAAATGGAAATACTCTATTCTGTGCAAGTTTAGAGGTTAAATTGCAGGCTCTGGAACAAGGCTGTTGTATACACAAATCAAAGACCCACCTCTAGCTTGCAGTAAGACTTAGAAAGTTATTCAACCTCTTAGTGCCTCAACTTGCCCTGGAAAATGGGGATGTTAATAGTGCCGTCTCAAAGAGCTGTCCTGAAGATTAAACGAATAAATATATACATGTACATATGTATGTACAGACACATACAAACTCATTTACATATAAAACAGAACAGTGTCTAGCTCACAGTGAGCACCCAATTATCATGTGCTATCATTATTTCAAATATTACGTGTCATCATTTTGATAGGATTTGGAGATTTTAACATTCAAATGCTTCTCTAAAGCAGTATTTCTGCATTTCGGCATTTGATACAGAGAAGGTTCCAAAAGATCTTTCACATTTCACTGCAATATCTCCTGAGAATGACATGAACTATTTCAACTTGAAATTAAATCCAACTTGGGCCTCACTAAGAATGGTGAAATAATCCCTCCCTCCTCTGTTGGTGGAAATTGTGTGTATCAATGTTGTAGTATATGAAAGCTATATTTATACTGTAAAACAGTAATTTTCTAGAGGCCCACTTCCGGTGAAGTGAATGCCAGGGGGAATGAGTCATCCCAAAGAAATAGTGAAGGTGGGTGGGGTGGGTGACCTGAGCCCGTAATGGCGAGATCCCCCTAAGTCCTCTGAGAACAGGCCAACATAGCTGCTCTGCAAAAGAACTGGGAACTCCAGGTGCCTCTGAGCATAAAGCAGGAACTTCATGAAATTCAAGAAGGAAAGGCTCACTCACTGAGCAGGATGGGGAAACCCTGGCAGACCCATTACTATACACAGGCTCCTAGAGAGATAGTACTGTCCACTGTAGCCTGCAGCCTCTGGGTGAAATGGCTCAGACTTAGGCTACTAGAAGAACACGGGGCCAAGGGCACAGAGAAGGCAGCCCAGGCCAAGGGTCGGATTTTAGGTGGACAGAGTTGAGGAATCCAGAAAGGGTGAAGCTGATGACTGCAAGTGAGTGTGAGGCTGGGGGAAAGCCAGGCAGTGGCTCACTGTGGGGTGAAACATGGTGGAGCCTTCTCCAAAAACAGCTAGGGAGGGAGCACTTGGGAGATAAAAAGAGACAATTTCCTAAGCCTGAAGCTTGAGCTAGGAGCACCCGGAGAAACTACAGCACTGCCTTACTCAGAAGGCTACAGAAGTCTGTGGGGGACCACATTTTGTTGCAAGAGAAGCAGGCTCTGCAAGGACTGAATATCCCTCCTGAGCCAGAAGCAAGGTCCACTGGAAAATCTCGGTTACAGTCCGAGCATCCTAAGCCTGGGTCCGTGACCATTCATAAGGAAGGTCCAGGTAGCACCTGAGAAAAGGGGCCAGGAGCTTTCGTCCTTGTGCAATTACTAGAAGAACTCTAAGGTTTCAGAAACATTGTAATTTCCCTGTGTTTTTTACCTTTGTCATGTATGTTTCCCTTTTGTGATTAACAGGAAATCCTTCAGAATGAAAAGGATCTTTGCTCTGATTTTGGAGGTGTTAGGGAGTCTGTCTGTACTCTGCAGCCAGGTTTCAACAGAGAAGAACATTCCTAAATTGGTCCATAAGTGGCAGCTTAAAGAGGAAAGCAAAACAGGCTGACTCTTGGGGTCCCTGGGGAGGAATAAAGAGATGTGCGGGATGATTCCACTGGCTGCTTCATTTTGGAATCCCCCACAAACACTTTTCATATGAAGGCTTGCTCACTGTTCTCTGGTCATTAAAATATCCCTTCCATTCCCCTGTACCTAGAAAACTCCTACTCATCCTCCAAAATCCTATTTCAATGTCACCTTCTCTGGGAAGACTTCTCAATTCTCCAGACAGGGTTAGTTGCTCTGATCAACTAGCACCCAACAGTACTGTGTTCTCTCTTTTGTCCTACTGTATGTGGTCACATTGTAATCTTTCAGATCTCTCTCATTTATTGGACTGTGAGCTTGTCAAGTACAGGGGGAGTACCATCTTCATTCTGTACATCCTGCGCCTGGCACACCACTCAGCAGAGACAATGAGTATATTTGATGAATGAATAAAGGAAAAAGAGTGAGAGGGCCAGGCAGAGTACACCAGTGGGTGAGGCAGGGAAGAGGTCCAAGGAGAAAAGCTCTCCTCCAGTGCTCTCTGACAAAGTACACAGACAACTTGGCCGGGACCCACTTGTTACGCATCCCGTTATGCAACAGGCCGCGTGGTGCTTTTCCATTCTAGTAAATGCACTTCCCCCAAGGGAGACACAGAGTTCTTATTCCAACTCGTCTGTCAACTCTCTGAGAAGTAGACAGTACACAGCCCAAACACTGGATCTATATACGGCAGGGACAAGCAGTCTGCTGCCCAGATGGCAGCAATAATTACAAATCTCATCTCCCTATTGTATAGATGAGGACGATGGCGCCACACAGGCAGAGCATTTGTGTCTTAGAGAAGGTTCATTTCTGATAGAGCTGGGTGCTCATTCTCTCCCTTTACTTATTCAACTTGACAAATGAAAAGCTTGGATTTCATATAATTTTAGGTCTGGCAGGTATCTCTCAAGACCATCGAGTCCCTCTGTCCTGGTACCGCATCCTCCCGGCCACCCACTTGCCTGGCAAAAGTGCCTGAACTTTACTAAGAACAAGTAATACTTTTTCATAACTGCTGCCAGCTGAGATTTGTCCCAATGCCCAGGACCCTTTTAATAGTGTGGGAGTGTATTCCTAACAATCCTAAATCCCTTCTCCTAGCTATTTTTCTCTTTGTCAGGCACAGACTTAATTTTAAAAATTGTTCGTCATCAGGTTTCAAGGGAGTAAAAAAAAAAAAATGTTTAGAACCACAACCCAAAACACACTTGAAATCCTTGAAGCAGCTTCTGAGAACCAAGCCTCACCTTTTTAAAGGACGTGAGTAGCTTAACGCTCACATATCCCAGCTTGTTCCTCCTCACGTGCTTTAGCAAAAAGGCGTCCTTCTCCAGGTTTTCATCTGAAAAGTAGAATTCGATCTGATCCACCAGTTTCTTGATCAACTCCTCGTCCGGGGGCTTCCACTCCTGCTCCAGGTCCTCACGCTCATTCTCGCCTCCACTTGCAGTGGTGCCACTGAGACCAGAAGGAGACACCAGGTGTTAGGGGTTGAACTGTGTCCCCCAAAAATTCATATGTTGAAGTCCTGACCCCCAGTACCTTGGAATATGATGTTATTTGGAAATGGGGGTCACTGCAGATGCAATTAATTAAGATGAGGTCTTACTGGAGTAGGGTAGACCCCCTAATCCAACACAACTGGGGTCCTTATCAAAAGGGGAAATTTGAACACAGACATGCACACAGAGAGAACATCATGTGAAGGCGAAGGGAGACACTGGGGTGATGCAGCAAAACCCAAGGAATGCCAAAGACTGCCACTAGAAGTGAGGAAAGATGCCTGGAATGGATCCATTTCTAGTACTTTCAGAGGGCACTTGATTTCAGGCTTCAGACCTCCAGAACCATGAAACAATATATTTCTGTTGTTCTAAACCATCCAGCTCATGGTATTTTGTTATGGCAGCCCTAGGTGATGACACTGGGTCACATGGTCACAGAAGGAGAGATTTGCCCCCAAACAGCTAAGAAGTCAATCTTTCGTTTTTAACAAGTATGGAAGATCATAAAAATAATAACTGGCCAGGCATCGTGGCTCCCATCTGGAATCCCAGCACTTTGGGAGGCCAAGGCAGGCAGCCTGAGCCCAGGAGTTTGAGACCAGCCTGGGCAACATAGCGGGACCCCTGTCGCTACAAAAAACACACAAAAAAATTAGCCAGGTGTGGTGGTGCAGGCCTATAGTCCCAGCTACTTGGGAGGCTGAGGTGGGAGGAGAGCTTGAGCCTGGGAGGTCTAAGTTGCAGTGAGCCAAGATTGCACCACTGCACCTCAGACTGGTTGATAGAGTGAGACCCTGTCTCAAAATAAGAATAATTATTATTATAACAACACCCTCTGCTGACATGTATGTGGCACTCTGCCCCCATATGTTTTTCACATATGGCAAAATGTTTTTCACATATACCCTCTTATTCTTCCTCTTCTACTCCACCCCCTCAAATCCTAGTTTCTAGAAGACAGTATAGCAGTCACTTGACCTTTCAGTAAGATCCTCCATATTTATTAAAGAAAAAAAGCTTGATTTCTTAGCTGGTTCAGGACAAGACCTGGAGTGCAGTGGTGCGATCTCCATGTGGATACATGATCACTGCCTCTCAGGAGTCACTGCAGTGGTGCGATCTCCATGTGGATACATGATCACTGCCTCTCAAGCCACCTGCCTTGGCCTCCCAAAGTGCTGGAATTACAGATGGGAGTGTAATTTCCTAGGGCTGCTGGCTCTAGGAGTCCTGGCTTTAGAGTTAAGACTGCCTGGGTCCAAATGCTTGGTTCAGACTGAGTATCCCTTATCCCAAATGCCTGGGACCAGAAGTGTTTCAGATTTCCGATTTTTCCAGAGTTTGGAATATCTGCAGATACGTAATGAGATATCTCAAGGATAGGACCCAAGTCTAAATGCAAATTCATTTATGTTTCATATACACCTTGTACAGATAACCTGAGGTAATCTTATGCAACATTTTTAATAATTTTGTGCATGAAACAAAGTTTCTGAACCAGCGGAAAGCAAAGGTGTCGCTGTCTCAGTTTTTAACCCATGTTAAACCTGTGGTGTCATGGTGGCTCAAAATGTTTCCGATTTTACAGCATTTCAGATTTTGAATTTTTTTATTAAGGATGTTCAACCTGTACCACTGTTTATTAGTTAAGTAAATTTAGGCAAGGAACTCCACTGCATCTCACTTCAGTTTCATCACCTGTAAATTGGGAATCATGATAGTCCCTACCCTCATGGGAGTGTTGTGAAGATTCAATGAATTAATACGTGAAAATATCCAGAAGAGTGCCTAGCATACCCTCAAAGCTCAGTAGGCACAGATAAATTCCTTCACTCATTCATAGGAGGCAGATCTAGAATTTAAACTCAAATCCTCTGTCTCCAAATCCAGTATACATAATAGCTTATATGTTTTGCTAGGACCCTGCAATGGACTCTGGAAACAATCCCGTCACCAGGCTCTTCTTAATAAAGCCCACCACCACCAGCAGCACCACCTGGGTAGACTTCCTTCTCTCCCTCTCCCTAAGAACATTAGGTGACGGGAACAAGCCAAAGCAATCCTGGACAGAGCTTCCTTAGGAAGGCTAATCTTTCATAAGGGGATTATAACAATTTCAAACCAATAAACATTTAGAGAATACTGATTATCCACATCATAACTGATGCCATTATTAGAAGTTAGCAGAAAGTTGCAGGTAGGTAGTTATAGGAGTTGGTTTAGCAACTCAATGTCAGGACCAGTAATCTCAACAGGCCTATTACTGTGATCGCTTAACCCTGGAAAAGACACATACATATATGTCCTTCAACAAAATTTTCATTGGCTCTCAGCCTCACAAAGAAAAAAAAAGAAAAGAAGCAACTGTGGAATACTCAAAATGAGGGAAAAAAATATGGCAAGAGAGAAAAAAGCAAATAAATCTATTTAATAATTTTTCAAATTCAGAAATTATAATTAGTATAAAATATAGGCATTGGTTGATTAAAAATAAAGAGTTTTAGCTATTTGCCTGTAGGCAGCCTGGGAATGGCTTTTAAAATACCTTATTGATGTCTCAAGGTAAATACGGAGTGAAGAGGCCTGGCGTGGTGGCTCACACCTGTAACCCAGCACTTTGGGAGGCTGAGGTGGGTGGATCACTTGAGGTTGAAGTTCAAGACCAGCCTGGCCAACATGGTGAAAGCCCATCTCTACTAAAAATACAAAAAAGTAGCTGGGTGTGGTAGTGCATGCCTGTAATCCCAGCTACTCGGGAGGCTGAGGCAGGAGAATCCCTTGAACTTGGGAGGTGGAGGTAGCAGTAAGTGGAAATCACACCACTGCACTCCAGTCTGGGTGACACAGCGAGACTGTCTCAAAAAAAAAAAAAAAAAAAAAAAAGAAAGGTATAGTGAAGAAAATAACAGGGAGACTCAATTTTAAAGTTTTTTTTTTTTTAAGTCTTGTTAAAATGGGATGATAAAAATCAGGCATTAAGCTGACTCACCCAACATCCAATAGCAAACACTTTCTCAATTGCTTTCTTCTTCTTCTTCTTTTCTTTTCTTTTTCTTTTTTTTTTTTTTTGAGAAAGAGTCTTGCTCCATTGCCCAGGCTGGAGTGCAGTGGCGCGATCTCGACTCACTGCAAGCTCCGCCTACTGGGCTCACGCCATTCTCCTGCCTCAGCCTCTCGAGTAGATGGGACTACAGGCGCCCGCCACCACGCCCGACTTCAATTGCCGTCTTTACTCTAGAGGCTATAAAAACTAAATGTTATGGCCGGTAACGCTTAAGTGAAAATCTCTTGGCCCTGCCCCTTCCCCTTTTATCTTCTTTGAATGTGGATGCGATGGTTGAATCTGTAGCAGCCATTTTACTACCATAAGGAAAAGGCCAAGAGAATCAGCTTGGCCTGATTTGTTGACATTATTGGCCCTGACATTATTAAGTTGTTGGACAAGCTCTTGTAACTATCTACCTGCAGATTTTTTATTATTACATGAGAAAGATCAAGTCCAATTTGTTTAATTCACTTGTTGGGTTTTCTATTACTTAAACAGCCAAATACAATAGTAACCTCAGCAACACTGCATGGAGAAAAGAGGTCCTCAAAACATCCCGAAGGCAAAACATCAGCAGGACAACCAATAGAATGAAAAAGGAGATGCAAGAAGGACAGAACAAATTTCACTTTATTAGGGAAAGTTTACCCCCTAAATAGTAATTAAAACAGATGGGTTGAGGCCAGGCATGGTGGCTCATGCCTGTAATCCCAGCACTTTGGGAGGCTGAGTCGGGCGGATCACCTGAGGGTAGGAGTTTGAGACCAGCCCGGCAAACACGGTGAAACCCCACCTCTAACAAAAATATAAAAATTAGCTTGATGTGGTGGTGGTCGCCTGTAATCCCAGCTACTTGGGAGGCTGAGGCAGGAGAATCACTTGAACCCGGGGGATGGAGGTTGCAGTGAGCCGGGATTGCACAACTGCACTCCAGCCTGGGCGAAACTCCATCTCAAAACAAACAAACAACAACAATAAAAACAAAAAACAGATGAGTTGAATATAACAGACAAAATAACTACAAATGCAAAGGGAATTCCTGGCCCAGCTAACAAAGATGTCAATAAATCACAGGGGATGGGGCCAGGTGTGTGCTAATGGCCAGTGAAGAGTTTTGAGCAGACTCAGGAGTATTGGCAAAATGGTCTAACTTACTACAAATAGCTAGTATCTCAGAAATGACTGCACTACCAAAGAGAGCCACAGGCAAGTTAGTCCTACTCCCAAACCACAGCAATAGATGCTATGACAAAAGGTAAACTCATAAACAAATAAAGCATAACGGAAGAAAGACAGTATAATTTCTCAGTCTCTCTAATGCTTATTCCAGAGCTTCCCAATCTTCCCAAGGCCTGCCATGTCTGCTTTACTGCCTGCAGATGATTCTATCTCAGACTGGATGGAGAAGATGGAGTTCATCCAATCAAGTTTCTCTAGACCTTCATTGGGCAACCCCTTCTCCCTTTTCCCAACCTTTGCTCCAGCTTCTTCTGTGTCTCTAGACATCCATCAAAGAACTTGTAGCCATATCCAGGTGTCTCTTCTCCATTTTGGTTCTTGATATAGTTTGAATGTAGTCTTAGCCAGATCTCATGTTGAATTGTAATCCCCAGTGTTGGAGGTGGGGCCTGGTGGGAGGTAGTTGAATCAAGGGGTGGTTTCTCATGAATGGTTTAGCACCATCCCCTTGGTGCTGCCCTTTTGATAGTAAGTTCTTGTAAGACTTGGTCATTTAAAAGTATGTGGTACTTCCCCCCACCCCCACCATCACTAACTGTCTCTCTTGCTCCTGCTTTCATGATGTGATGTGCCTGTTCTCCCTTCACCTTCTATACCACGATTGTAAGCTTCCTGAGGCCTCACCAGAAGCAGATGGTAGTGCCATGCTTCCTATACAGCCTGCAGAG